AATTATTTTGTTTTTTTGGGGGTTTTTTTTACCCAAAAACATATATTCAAATGTCTTTTATAGTAAAAACTAAAAACAGGTAAGTTCTTACAGAGATTTCAAATTGTTGATAAACTATTTTATGCCAAGAGCTGCAATTTAGGCTAAAAGTACAGAAACAAACAAAAATGATAGTCTGAAATATCTGTAGCACTTTATCAAAGCTCACAAGAGTATTGTTATTTATTAAGCTCAGCTTAGTTTGGTATAAGGACACTAGAATAAGGGAAACCAGTAAGGGTCGGATTCAAAAGTCAAAACCAGATTATTACAAAGATTAATCCTGTATGTATACATTTTTTTTTATTGTGCAAACCTTTACAGGTATAAGCAATATTAATTAATTTCATAATGGTAGGAATTAGGTTCTTCCAAAATCATGTGAACTTTCAACAAAAAAAATTACCCACCGTTTAAAAAAAAAAAAAAAAGTTACCAAAATTATTAAATTTCATTGAAATTTTCAGCATTTATTCATCAAGCGAACCATATAATGAATTTTTTATTGCTAAGTCTTCTTGCGGGAGTAACTCGTAGCTAATCCATACTAAGTTTTACAATTTTCTAATTCTTACTCTTTCATAAAGTTAAATTTCTGAGGGTTAGCATCAGCCATGCTGATGGAAGGAAGAAAGTGATCTTTAAATTAATAAAGAAAGACCAGTTTCGTTTTGCAGGCGTTACAATTAACAAGCCATTCTTTCTTTGTCCCAGTTTTAGCAAAAGATTGTCATTCATTTTTAGATCAACTGCCAATTTGCTTTAAAAATATATATTTGAATTAATGTTTTTAAAACTAAGTTTTTTTTTACAGATTAACTTTTTAGACTCACTACTATTCTATTGTCTTTCAAAAAGCAAAAATTTAACAATATATTTAAATTTTGAAATGCGTTTTGAGTTTTTTTTTTTTTTAAAGTTCTTTTTTTAGTCCGTGAAGGTACAATAATGTTAATATCAGATCATAACGTAATTTGTAACAATTCATTGCAAGCTTCCTGCTTTATTGGTCCTTCAACAGTTGATTTACAATAAACTGAGGTGATGAATTCCCCCCCACAAATTCATTTTCTTTTTAATTTAATCATTAAAAATGAATTTGTGGGGAAAAAATGAAGGGGTACATTCACTTCGATTATTATTGGGAAATAAAAAACGATTTCTCATATGCTAGAAAGAAATAGTGAAAATAAAAGTTAAATATTTGTCTACAAAATAGTGATCGCGTACACAATTAACTGTAACACAATGTCCTGCAGGTTAGACTCAGACATATCCATTTTTCACTTTTTAGTAAAATCATTTTTAGCGACTAAATGACAAAATTAAACGCGCATTGCCCTACACTCACACAGACAATAGAGAAACTGTAAAACTAAACACTTAAGAAGTTAAATAATTTTAAAATAAATAAAACAACCAGAAAACTGCAGGTTGAAACCAAACTGAAGAAAGGGCTTTTAAAGCACAGAAACTTGAACGTTAAGCTAGCAATAATTAGCAAATTATTTAATTTGCTATTCATAAACAGTAAAAAAAACTAAACTAAACACAAATGCCCAGACGTTGTCCCTTTCAGTTTAAGTGAAGAATTAATTTCATATTGTTTGTTGTTAGAAATATATTACTCGACAGTCAACACAAGGACCCTGAATTTGTGAATTCTGATGTTAGCTAAGAAAATGCAGGAGTTCGCGGGATGAAGGAAAAGTTTGAAAACCATTGTTTTAAAAAAAAAAAAAAAAAAGTAAAAAGACGACAAAGAGAACTCCTGCTCTTGCAGACACTCAAAAAATGATTAAATTTTCGTCATTTAAAAGTTAACATGAGTCTGAAATAAATATTTGTATGCGTGTATTATTCTAGAGAAGTTAAGTATTTTTATTCAATAGTCTTGTCTGCATCGATATTCTTGAATCTTGACTGATAGTTTTTTTGGTTTTTTTTTGCAGTTTTCTATACATGCACACGTGACAATTATTACACCGGTTGACGTAAACTAGGTAATAATCGTAATCCTATTCAGTAATCGAAACATTTTAAATATCAGAAAAATAAAATTTTATTTACCCATACGGTTATCTTAACAACGTAGTGGTTAAACAAACAAAAAAAAAAACAAACAAAAAAAACAACTAATATTTATGAAATTGAAAGTCAACAAACAAGTCAGCCGACGATCCATTTTTTTTTTTTTTTTTTTTACACTTAGTTCTGTTTCAGTTAAGAAGTCATAGCAGAGAAATACTACAAACTCCAACAATTTTAAAATCTTTGTTCACATAGCAATATTTTTTTTAATTCATCCTTACAAGGAATAGGTAAAGGCTTCCAGAAAGTTTTATTTTCGATTATTCCCAACGTTACAATAATTCCAATATAGTTAATGAATCGACTGCAATCTGGTGGAAATAAAAATAAACAATTAAAGACAGAAAGCTAGCTACAAGCTTTTGTTTTTGTCGCTGTACTAGAGCTCCAGTATAAGAAAAGAAAGGGGTATTTAATGTCGTTAAAAGAAAAAAACTGTTTATTTACAGAATAGTCTCACTAAAGCAAAAAGTAAAAACTTACTTTCTCCGGAAAATTAAAAAAAAAATGCTTTTGTTATTTAAAATTCCACTTTCTCGCATGGAATCCTTACGTTTTTTTTTTTTTGCAATCTACCACTGACCTGAAAACCTAATAAATCAAATTTCGTTTAAAATAAAATAAAAAAAAGAAAAAAAATTTGTGGGTGATCCACCCAAAATTATTGAAGAGACAATTGATATATTTTTTATTTTAGAAGTAAAAAATACAAAATGTTAAAATATATATATATAAAAAAAAAAAAAAAATTTGGGTGTTGGTATTATGAGTTTGATCTTCTGAAAGTTACCAAAAACTAAAAAATTTAAGAGCTAAAGAAGTATTTTCCTCCTTTAAGTTTACAACATAACATTTTCACTTTTCATTTCAATGTTCATTTATATGCGTATAAAAAGTTTAAAATCTGAAAAATATTAACGAGAAAAAAAAAAAGGATTCATGAGGAGTGACGTGAGAAAAGGATGGCAGAATCGCAACATATGTTGATGATCAAACAAGCAAACTCAACCCAATCAACACCTTGTGTACTTGTAAAAACGATTAAAATTAGTTTGAAAAAGTTATTCAATATTTCTATAACATTTACCAGAATGTTAAAAAAAATAATTCTTTTTTTTTCTCGTCTTTATGCTGCCATGGCTAAAAAAAATCTAATGAATGTTTAATGTTTTTTAGTGAGTCAGCATTTAAAAAATATCATTTATTTTGAGTGCAATCGGAAAAAAAAAAGCTATCCAAATATTACATACGATTTTTTCTTAAAATATCGAGGTATCTAACTGTTTTATAAAACCATAAGACTGTTTTTATTCTTTTATTGCCGCGGTAAATAAATCGGTGAAGTTTTGCAACAAGAAGATGTTGGACTGGTGAGATGAGGCAAGCCTAAATTTGTCAATTGTTTTACTTTTACTACTTACTTGGGGTGGACAATTAATTACAATATGTGGACATTTTCTCTGCTTAATTTCACACCATAGATAGCAGCCCTGGTCCGTTGTTACTGATTCTTGGTTTTTGTTATTGATTGATTTTTTTTAAAAGTGTTCCTTACCTTTAGTAAGTTTATTTAATAGAGATTTTTTTTATTTTATTTTTAGCATATTATTTTTTGTATTTTGCATGAGATTCAAGAAATCACTTGCAAGCTGAAGTGTAAATAAACATCAAGAATAATTTTTAAACATTAAAAAGTAAATGAAAGAATTATTTGAACATTTATTTTTCACATACATTATCAAATTTCACGATCGATAATTTTCTATTATTAAAAATTAATTACCAGTTGAGTAGACAAACTAAACATAGCGGTGAGTAAACAAAAAGTCAACATTCATTTACTTTTATCAGTGATTGGAGAAATCGAGGCCATGGTTATTTAGGCAAACAAAAATGTATTTTTAATTTGTTTTGTTTAATTTTTAAAAAAAGTCTTACATAAAGTGATTTGTTGTAACATTATTAAATGTTAGTTAGTTACAACAAAGCACTTTACGTAAAGACTAGTGTTGTTAATGATTATTAACACTATAAAACGTTTTAAAGCCGATTAGAACGAAAATAATTTAATTTTAATATCAGCTATATAAACAAACATTTAAACGTGCTTAAGCTGCTTTAAAAATATAATTTCATTGATTTAAAAGAAAAAAATCCTAGAGAGAGAAAGCTATGTTAACTAGTGTTGTTGTTGAATGTTGATTAAATTATGATTCATTCCTAAAAATAAACTCACTCAGCTGTCTTTTTTAGAGAACGTGGAAAAAACAGGATTATTTGCTTTTAAAATGTTTTAAAAACGTTTTCAATAATTGTACATCTCTATTTCTAAAAAAAAAAAAAATAAAAATAGTATAAACAAAAAGAAACGATCAATTTATCGATCAACACGTTTTAATTTGACTAAATGTCAATATTTTTTTTTCATTTCTTCCAGGCATAAATCATTTATAAACATACAAAAAAAACATTTTTTCTCAATCCGTTAATTGACAATTCGTTAAAAAAATTCAAATCTTTTACAATACAATAGACAAGTGATAGAAATAATAATTATTTGAATATTGCTGTCATAAACAACCAAAAACCTAAATGAACGTATTCTTTTCATCGGAACGAGAAATGGCAAAGTGATATATTTTCTGATCTTTTGAGAGCAAAAGTAGACATTTACACAAAAAGAAATAGATAACAATGAAAATAGTGGAATCCTCGTTCCTTTGTTGTTCTTATAGTGATTTGTTTTGAGTTAGATTTGAAATAACTGATAAGAACTGATACCAATATAATGTAACTTATATAAGATAGAATTTTTTTTTAAAAAGCTTTGAAAGAACGATGGCGACTATAAACAAACAAACGGTACTTACGAGCAATCTTGATTAAAATTCACGAATAACAAGTCACAGAGTTGGTCTCCGCTATGCGTTGCTAGATTCATTAGGCCAGTGATGCCGTTGGCCACCGTACTAACGTAATCCGTGGTGACAGTCAGGAATGAAAGAATGATACATAAACTAACGAAGCATCTTTATCCGAACTTATATCTATTACAAAGACATCGTCATCGCTGTGTCGAGAATAACCACAGTTCGTAGAACAAGGTACCTTAGAAACGCACTCTTCGATTTGTCAATTTAATACCACGTGGTCAGAAAAAAGCAGCCAATCAGAATTTCTGATATACTTCTGTTTTCAGGGTTAGAATTATAAGCGCGGGAAATTTAAAACAAATAACCTCTACAATCTTTGTGACTATAACGAAATTTATTTCTTGAAAAAAAAAAAAAATTTTGTTTCAAACAATTAATTACTTCTAGACATTATTAGCAGTGTCTTTGAGTGACAAAAGCAACACAAATTGTAATTATTTTAAAAATTGTATTCAAATTATAGGGTTTAACTTTAATAAACCATGTTGATAAGGTTTTTTTTTGTGTGTACATGTGTATATTTCCTGAGCACATGTACGTTTTATTTATTTTATTTTTTGTAATGACATTACCCATGCATAAAAAGAATATAGTAATTTTATTTTTTTAAATTTCACAGCTGATGACTTTTTAAAAACAACAGTTTGTCAACTCCTTTTCACTCTTCCTAATAATTAGTGTGAATCACTGGGAATTAGGAAGAAGTTGAAAGAAAATAATAAGGAGGAGGAGGAGATATTGATCAGTTGCTATAAAAAAGTATCAGAACTGGTCACATAAAAGAAAAAAATCCTAAAGACAAAAATAGTCAATTATCAGTCTCTTTATAATTTGAAACAACAAAATTTTGAAATGAATCAAGCACTTGGTGATTTAAGCCTTAGGAGTTGAAATGATTGACAATTCCACAAATGGGGTGAAGCAAAAAATAAAGAGAGGCCTTTAGTTAAAGCTTTATTCAATCTAGATAATTCACTGGCTTCTGTTTATCAAACACAAAACTATTTTTAACAATATGGAATATAACATTCTACCACACAGTGGTACGGATGAAAAGGTATATCATCGCATGGGGGAAGTGAAGTGAGCAAAATAATGATTTCATTAACATATACTTTTAGTAATTGACAGTCTTTGTAAATAAGAAAAATTAAACTTAGATTTAATAATTGTCATGTTCTGATTGGTACAAAATAAGTTGTGGAAGATAGTATAGTATCTGCTTATGATCCTTTTAAAGAAAGAGAGAGAGAGTTATAGCATAAAGGAAGGGGTGCATAAAAAATCCCAGTGTTACTATTGTATCATATTTGACCTTTGAGTCATTAAAGAGCAATGGTTTCTTTAGAAGATTCTTCTGTTTTCTTATCAATTTTTTATACACTTTTATCTCTATGTAAATCAAGAGTACTTATTAAAAGTGATAAGTTTAACAACCCATCATATTTTCATTTTATCTCATGCCTTAGATATGGGTGCCACAAGATAAAAGTCACGGAAGAGAGCATAGGCTATAAACAAGATGCTAAAAGTGGGGGACAAAGTCAAATGTTAAGTTTTAAAGAATCTTGATATGTTTTATCTGATCCTTTCATAAAGTATATATATGTTTTTTACATCTATTATCTTACTGTAAATTTTTTTTTTAAGTTTGATTTTAAATACACATTTGTTTTTATGTTAATTTGTAGTTATTTCCTGAAATGAGATCTATAGACTTTTCCCACATTTAAGACTTATATAGACATTTCAGAACAATGTTATGAAAAACAAGATTAATTTTTGAAAATTAATGGCAGTAATGATTTTAAACAAATGATACACCTAACCCTATAAACATACCCAAAATTTATTTTCTACCCAGTAACAGACAGTATTACAAGCATGTCAAAAAGATTTCATAATACAACACAGTTTAAATCAAAGTATCTAGTGGTTAGAAATTAACATTGCCATGTGAAATATTTGATCAATCAGAGAAAAGTAAAACCCTATTTTCTTTGAGCCTACTTTTGAGAAAAATTTCTTATAAAACCCACAGATTTCAATTTTCAACAAGCAGAGTTACAGCTGTCTTCAAGCCATAAAAAGATGTGGTGAAACAGTTTTCTTCCCGCCAACTGAAAGAAACATGTCAGTGATTTCAAATGAATCATCATCAACATCATCAACAACAGAGACAGTCAGTGAATCTCTGTTAATGATGAGTCTTTTGTCAACCACAGCCTTTTTCTGTGGATCAAATACCCAACTCAACTAAAGGCTATTTTTAATAATTTTTGGCTCTTTTTGAACATGTGTTTATAAATACAAATGATTTATTTAACAGGCATACTCATGTTTTCTTTATTTTTATTTTATTATTGTTTGGAATTCAGATGTTTGGATATTTAATATAGAAAACCTGGACAACTGAATTTCCTACAGGCTCATCAGTATTGTCATTGATTTAGACCAAGAAGACAGTTCTTTGTTCAGTTTTCAGTTCCAACAAAAAAATGAGAAGGCTGAAGACCCCACTCCCAGCCTCATAGAGTGCCATGGACACACCTTTGTTGCTTTCTTACAATCATACTATTTCCTATCTTTCACTAATACTATTTATTTTCTCATTTGTACTTTAATTCATAAGTCTTTGTAGAAATATTTTGCTCCCTTTTATTTACTGCATAAATCACTTGCCAGTCAATATTATGAAGGAATAACATTTTTTCAATTAACATGACAAAACTCAAATTAGTTAAAAATTTAAGCTTGGAGTGAGGTTTATATTTTTTTAATACAACTTACACCTTAATATAATGGAAATAAGGATGGCTGAAAGAAAATAACAAACATGTATTGTTCTCAAATAAATTTTTTATACTGCTGTGTCATACAAGAAATTATATATTATATACAAGGTGTCTCAAAAGTCACACTGCAATTGGAATAAAAATGTACACTTGTGAAATAGCAATCAGAAGAAATTTACATGAATTAACCGATAAAATTTTCTAATATATTTTCAAATACGAAAACATTATTTCATTTGGTAAATAAATATAAAATTCACAAAGTTTTCCAATGGTAGTGTGACTTTTGGGACACCCTGTATATACCTGTCACTATTAGTCACACACAGAGAAATTATAACACATAAAAATATAACAAGCAGTGTGACAGTAAAAATTTAGAGAGTCTTGTAATATGCCCTGAAGGGAAAATGATCAGGCTGGTGGTGTAATCTATGTTCCTGGTAGGACCATGTGGTTTCCTCTATTTGAGGTTGTGATGGCATCTATCATTTTAGCATTTTAACAACTGGTGTTTGTCACCCCATGAACTAATGTTATGTGACCCTCATCGTTCATCGTATCTAAAGGGAGATAATTGCTCTTTGCATCCCTAGACAAAAATTTAACTGAAATTTTTCAATTTTATTTTTTATTTTTTTACAATGATGTCTAAGTCCTATGAGCCGGTAGAGTGTTACAGTGTAAGAAGTTTCACCGCAAGTAAAGTAATAATGCCACTAAAATGCAAGGAGTCACTGGAAATGAAATATAAGGAAAAGATTTTAGAAGGAACAAGAATCTCAACCCTAAACAGGAAACAAGGGATAAACCTTTTTGAAAGAGTGTGAACAGGACAATAGGTGAACCTATCTACTATTAAACATGAAATAATCTTCAAACTTGAAAATTTCCTGGTATGTAGAATAACAGCTCCTGCACACAAATAGAAAATGAAAATTGATGAAATTAGAGAACTGATAAAAGACAATGAGAAATAAATTAATAATAATTTTGTTTGTGAATGATTGTATATAATTATGAATTCATTATTCCTAAAGAAATTTTGTAGATCCTGAAGTTCCATATGTACATATAGAAAATACTGAGAATTGCTTGCTCTGTCTAAACAGGTTTTTAAATGAAAAAGGCAAATACAGAACTCCTCATCAATGAGAGTATATTTGTGAATATTTATTCAGTAAAGAATTTGAAAATAGATTTGCTGCCACAGTTAAAATGATCAGTGTACCCATTTTAATCTTTTACTTTCTGTGTGTGTGAGTGTGTGTGTACCGGGGGGGGGCATCAATATGCATTTTTACCAATTTCCTGGTGCTAAAAAAATTAATAATGCAATTCAAATTTGTGTAACTATATAATTAAACAAATATTTATTATATTTTTCTAGAATAATTTGTTTGTTTCCTGGCGATCAAACTAATGTTAAAATATAGTGTAGAGGCCAGTTACTTTGTGTGACCTCTCAAATTTATATTTATGCAAAATACCACAAAATATGAAACAATAAGAAAGAACACAAAACAGTTTTATAACAAGAATATTCATATTTATGTATGTGAATGATATACAAGCATAATTAATAGGAGTTACTTCCCTTTGACTGGAATTAAAGTCTTTACTAAAGAAATTTTTTTTTTTATATTTTTATTTTTTTTCATTTTTGCTGCTCAAAATGTTAACTGTGAGAGAGTTGAAAGAATTCTGGAAAGCTGAGAAAATGTTGATAAACTTTTAGCTTCAGAAAAGTTGAAGGAGTGAATGTTCTGTAATGTTTAATTAGTTTCCATTGCTTGTAGTTGAATATTCATGATATGTTGATGCTTGTAATGTTCTGTAATGTTTGTAATTAAGTTTCCGTGTGTGTGTAATATTTTCATAGTGTTTGCCCGCAAAGGGTCGAAACGCAATTTCTTAAACAGCTACATTTTAGTAAGCAAGAGAAATCAAAAAGAGAGGAAGCACAAACTTGTGTCTGGTATTTATAATCAATGTAATCGGCTCTGATTTTTGGCAGAAAAATGGTTTTGAATAATGTGTAGGTGTTGTAGGCACATAGGCAAGAACATAATGGGAGTCTCAAGATAGAAAATTAAATAGATTCATTTAAAAACCTTCCTTTAGATAAAGCAAGTTTAATTTAGTTCACTAAAGTCAGGTGTAAATTATAAAAAAAAAAAATTTTAGAATTTGTAAAACAAAAATTAATAAAT